GTGACACCAGCTAAAGTTGTACTGAATAAGCTCAGCATTGAACCGAGCCTGAGTAAATTCAGAATTGAACTTGCTTTTTTTGGGTTTATGAGTGCAGAGCAGAAAGAACTTCCTGGCCGTACATGACTTCTAGGGAATAACCAGTTTCTTCCCTTACTGGGTTTATTCTTTTGGAGGTGCACACTCCTGAATGCGATCTTACTGCAATTAAAAGTTTTTATCTTTGGTCAGCTAGTCTGATAAGCAGAACATAGACCTTGACATAGATGAAAGAGGAATATCTTTTCTTCCATTACTCAAGAAGATACCAGTTAATTTGTTAGACATGCCCCAGGTTTGCAGATAAGAAATGTTCCTAGCATGCAAAATAGAATCAGTTGACTTCTGTAGCCGACCACTTACATCAGTTTAGAGAATCCCGTTAACTTACCTTAACCTAAATAATTACCACCAATTTTTAATGGGCACCCTGCAGAACACAGATCAGCAGAATGAACAGCATACAAACCATCTCACTGTAGGGATTGCAGCTGCTTAGATCCCAAGTGGACCTTGAAACATGTCATACAAAAAAATAATACAGGAACAAAGGGTTATCAAGGATCCTTTCATTCATTGAGTCCTACCCCTCATTCCTATTTAGTCAAGGATTATGCATAATCCTGAAGTGTCCTTGAAGCTTCTATTCCATGGACCCTCAGCTGCAGACAGCTCCCTAACAGCCTACAGCAAACCCTAGACCCAGAGCTGTAACCATAGCTTTTACAAGGAGAGAACAGGGGGAATCAAGGACACCATTACCACTGGGATATTCATTGCAACTTTACGTGGTTGCTAGCACATGTGTACCAAAACCAACGTCTCAAAATGTGGTGAATAAAAAATACCATGGGGAAAAAGTAAACCAAAAGGGGCCATGCTTAAGTTAGTCTAGATTTAGCACATATGTTTCTGATGGAATTTCCCCTCTTTTGGCTTGGATTGATGTCTATGCTTTTTGTCAAATACTTCTGCATTATGGGAGGTGGGGATTCATGCTGAAGGTGATGAAGAGAGGGCAACCCTATAGATGTGATGGCCTTGATGGTCCCTTCCCCTCTCATTAACTCGGGCTCAGCTGTTTTCCCATTTCCAGACTGAAAGGAGAGCTGGGAAAGGGGACTTTTATTTCCCTGGGGACAGAGACATCATCAATTATCTGCCATTCCCCGCTGCAAGCTGTCAGAGAATAGGGCAGGGAAAGAGTACTGATAGGATTTCACCTTATCCCTTGACTCGCTGATGGGCTCATCATTCAACTGCCATGCACTTAGCACGGGCAGTACTAATTATATTAATTATGTTTCTGCATTAGCAGTAAGCAGACTGGTGACTTTTAAAATGAAACATCGGTGGTTCATTAGCTAGATAGGGTCAGTGTGTCCACTGCTGAGGTGGATCTCTCAAATCTCAAAAGCATTTAATATCATTTTAGATGTGCAATATGCTTCATATTGAGAGCAAAGCTTATGCTGTAGCTAGAAGAGAGGAGCATTATGTCATGTAACTACTAAATGTAGACTTAGAAACTTGATCGCTATGTTGGAGTAGCGCCAAAATCCCCTTAGTAGTGTTCGTCTGTAGGGATACCAGTCAGGTCAGTAAAAGATCTGGCTAAGTCCTTGTGGGCTGAGCCTTACTGAAATTATACTAGTGACTATATCTATGTGCAGAATCAGAATACAACCGTATTATTAAATGCAGAGGTAGGTCTATTTAGTTGATAGCACACAGGCCTGGAAATGGTTTAAGAGGCAAAGTATATTACAACAATGTGACAAATACTCATTACTCAGAGTGTCTTTGCTACATGTAGGTATCATAAATAATCCAGTGACGTGGTGCCCATATGCAGCTGGTATCCATGTGAGTCTGGGCTAAGAGGCTGCTGCTGGTGGAGTCAGTGTGATTTTGTAAGGTCAGTTGGAAGTATTTGAGATGTCAACAATGTAAGTTTAAATCTCAAGAACAGATTGTGTTTGTGCAGTAGGGTCAACCTCTAATCTGACAAACTGAAAAGTAACTGGGAGATTTCGTCAGTTCCAACTCTGTTACCTCCTTTTATCACAGTTTTCTTCTGTACAGAAACCAAACATACATTACTCACTAAGATTATATATAACATATAGAGACTACAAGCCTATCTGCACTCTGAGTTCTGACCATTTTATGCAAAAGCAAAGCAAAAGCAGCTCCAGGCAGGTCTACAATTTGCATTTCAATTGCACTTACTCCACACTTCCTTCTGGTATCTCTGGGAAAGTCTAAGCTACTAAAGCATTGCAAAGCCATCCGAGTGCTTGAGCAAAATAAAGAAAATAAGTAAATTCCTTTATAGAATTGTCGATTTTTTAAGTTTACCCGAAAGAAAACCAGAACACTTCCAGTCTGTCTGCACATGGTCACGTTTGGACACAAAGATTTTGTTCAGCGGGAAACCCATTCATCTTTCATTCACATTAATACAGAACATATTAATTGTGTGGAAGATGTTAGCATTTTGAGTTTTGTATCTAAAGTAATCGTATTTTTATAGCAAATGTGATCGTGATTAGCACCCAACCTCAAGCTGGTTTTATTCCTCTTATTTTTTTGAGGAATGGCTGATGTTTATGCATTTAAATCTCCTCTGACTGTCAGTGTTGTTTAGCTTCTGCCCTCATAGGTCTCCAGCTGCTGTCAGGATGTGTGTTAATCATCCTATCAAACGATGCAAGCACTGAACGCTTGCAAGGGATTTTCTGCTCCTTGGCTCTCTGGACCCACTTTTAATGCAAATCCTTGTATGCAAATGGAAGCATTCGGCACGCAGCTTAACCATCTTCGGGTTATTTGCAAAACCAAAGGGAACTTGTTAGACAGACTCCCAGAGTACTGTGATGGGGTGGTTTCCGCTTTGTCTCCCAGGAGCTGGTTCTCAGTTGGGTTTGAACTGTTAGACTGGCATGGGTGGATGCTGTGCCATCTACTGGGATGTGAGGTGTGAGCCTGAGAGCTGCAGAGTAGCTTCAGCCAGGTGCTGGGTAGCTGCAAGCCTAAGCAGAGCTCAGCTCTGCAGAGGTGTGCCGAGAGCCTAAAGGAGCTAGGGGTGAGTATAGGGGCAAATCTGAGCTCTCACTGACTGAAGAATCTAGTATCTCCAGCTGTGGCTGGAGCATGGTTACCCCTGTGCAAGTTAGCTTGCAAGTGCATCCTCACTGCAGTTTCTCCTGAGCCTGCAGACAGAACTGGCCTTAATTGCAATTGCAGCCCAGGTGGTATGCCCACTCACATGCCCACTGCAGCCCTTGCCTCCAAAACAGAAAGATGTGCACTGTTTTGATTGCGCGATAGAGAAAGCTTCACATTAGCACTGGCAGTGCTGGGACTGAAAGAAGTATTCCTAGCAGAGCTCTTGCAGAAATACTCCTGATAAAGCAGCACTTAAGGCAATGCAGTCCTCTCCACAGAGAAGCAGTAGCTAGCCATTGCACCTACTGCCACCTCAAAGAGTATTTGCCCAGCTTAGTGCTACTAATTAAACATACCTGGATGGTGCACAGTGTTTCCCCACATGTTTGCTTTCTCTGGTGAGTGTTTGCTGTGCAGGAGCCATGCAGCTTTGGTGCTTATCTTTAATAAATAGGCTTGATTGTGAAGGTTTACATCACAAATCTGTCACCTTCACAGGTGGGTGCTTTTTTGGGCATTTGTGATCATTCCTCATCTGTCAGGATGAGAGGATGATTTAGACTCTCACCTCCTCAGCCTGCAGGTCATGGTTTCACCAGGCATCATCTCCATTGCCTGCAGGCAGCTCCAGACCCTGCCACACCATCCTGCCTTGGCACCAAACTCACCCCTTGACCCAGCTGTTGGAGAGAAATGAACTGGGACCATCTGGGTCCAGCATTGGAGTCATCAAACCATAGAACGGTTTGGTTTGGAAGGCACCTTAAAGCTCATCTAGTTCCAGCCCTGCCTGCCGTGGGCTGGGACACCTTCCACTAGACCAGATTGCTCAAAGCCCTGTCCAACCTGGCCTAGAACACTGCCAGGGATGGGGCAGCCACAACTTTACTAGCAAATTTGTTCCAGTGTATCACCACCCTCATAGTAGAGGAAGAGGGAAGCATCCCCCCTTTACCCTCATGGCAGCAGCAAGTTGATGGAGCTGTTACGAACCATGCCACTTGCTTGCTATTTCTGTGCTGGTTGAAATCACCTTAGTTTGGTGCAGGTTCTGAGCTGGGCATTGGAAATGAGCAAACGCACAGAGCAGGGGCTTCCTCCTAACATTCTGAAGCCCCCTCCCAAATGTGTGATATGCAGAGAATATGGTACCTGGAGCTTGTTTACTCTCATTGACGATGTTTGCTCTCATGATGGAGGGCATCCCTCTCTCATCATGCAATGCAGCAACTGTGCATATACTCACTGCATCTTCCTTCTCAGCAGCCAGGTGGGAGCAGCCATGGCGAAAAGGAGCAAGGATCAAAGGGGAGCTGCAGGACTTGGTTCATGCTGAATGAGCCCTCTTTTAAAAATTTCATTATATGCAATATCACTTTGCAGTGATGGTGAGTGCACCCTAAGAGCTCTGCACCCTCCCAGGGTAATCTCCAGGACACCCTGATGTAGCAGATGGGGACACCAGGACTGGAGGAGAAGCATGGCAGATATCAGGGATAGCACTGGGACTATGAGGCTGAAGCACCTGGTTCCTAGTCCCACATTCAGACCCTCTTGGTGTCTCTGGCACATTTTCAGTAGATCCTGGGCTGTAAGTCTGAAGTTAAAACAGGACCTTTTTATTTTTAGGTCAGGACAATTTGGCAACACAAACAGATTAGTGCCCTGGCTCATGGCTCCTCCTGGGATTTGGTTACCCCTTACCATAACTAATGGACAGAGGCAGCGCCAGCCTCACTGCCTGCCTCTTATCCTCCACCATCACTGACCTGCTTTCTGTTGTTTTTCAGGAATATCATCCAGGCTCCCTGAAATCATGTCAATAGGATCACATTCATTCTCTCCAGGAGGTCCTAATGGGATTATTAGAAGCCAGTCTTTCGCTGGCTTCAGCGGGCTTCAGGAGAGACGCTCCAGGCAAGTGCTGTGCTTTCTAAGAGGAATTTCCAAGTTGGGTCCTAAGGGAGCGCTGGGGTTTAGGGGTGAAGGTGGAAAAGAGGTGAGAGAGGACTGCCTTCTCCCTCACTTGTGAGAGGAAATCTTCTAGGCAAAAATCTTTCTCTGTATTGTTTGTATAATCAAGCTGTTACCATCTACCTTAACTACCCAAGTGCCTGTTTGCCTCTCCCCTATTAATGCAGGGCTTCCTTGCATGCCTCAGAGCTGTGAGAGCATTTCAGAAAGTCATTTTAATTTACTAACTTATGCAGTGATCTTTTCAACATGAGACATGTGCAGGAACACAATACACTTCCCACCGCCCCCAGTTTAAGGCTGTTCCTACCTAAAAGACAGTTTTTCCATTGCAGTGCTGCTATGAATTCAAAACAGCTCTGTTTCCCTTGCAGGGCTCCCTGCCTTCATATCCTGCTAGAAACAGGGCAGAGGTTAGCTTTAGAGCCTTTCCTTGCACTACTACCCTTTAGCTAGACAGGATTTAGGGCTTTGAATCAGGCACTTAGCAAATTGTCCAGTCCCCAGTGCTCCCAGAGGCTATTTTACAATTAATTTTATCTTATGGAAATCACTATTTCCTAGTGCCGGACCACCAGTTAGCAGCTGAGGAACAGCAGGCAAAGGGCCGCCTCCTGTTGTCAGTCAAGCCAGCAATGGTTGTTAGATGCTGACCTGTCCTCAGGAGATTCACTTATACATAGCACAACTATCCTCCCTCTTCATACAGAGCTAAATATGGTCCGTGCTCAAGACCAGATGCGTGATGCTGTCCTCCAGAGGCACTCTGAGCCAAATCTTCCTTAGGAGCCCCCACATTTTATGGCACAGATTATCTGGGCTCCCCTTTGTTTTTAGTACCTGGATGTAGCTCAGCTCTTTTATGGCTGTGGCTGAGCAGTGTGAGGCAGGACAGACATGGTATAAGACAGAGAAACATCTGATGAGCCTCACACTCGGTGCGGCATTTCCAGACCTGCATTCGTATCTCGGCAAGGCAACTGGCACATCAAAAGCCTACAGCGCATGTCCCAGGCTGCTCAGACCTCTTAACCTGTAAACAAACACAGTCCTTCAACTGATTCCTTCAACAGATTCCTTTCTGCTAGCAGAGATAATATCAGAAGATTTCTCCAAGCTACGCCTCCCTTGAGACGGCTGTGATTTATAGGGATTTCCTCCTCTTTGATGTTCATTTTGCAGGTGTAACTCCTTTATTGAAAATTCCTCTGCACTCAAGAAGCCCCAAGCAAAGGTGAAGAAAATGCATAATTTGGGCCATAAGAACAGCACCACGCCCAAAGAGCCCCAGCCTAAAAGGATGGAAGAGGTCTATCGAGCCCTGAAGAGTGGCCTGGAGTAAGAGTCTTTATCCTGCTTCTGATTGACACTTCCTATGGCATTTTATAGCCTAGAGAAATGTATCGCAGGAACAGGGATCCTTAACTGTAGGAGAGGAGCATATACCTATTGGAGCCTGGATTGTTAATGCTTAGGATCTGAAATACTTGCATGGGAAACAGGAATACAGGGGGCAGAATCCCATTTCCACTGAAATTGCTAGGAAAGCTCCCAAAGGCTGGGGTTTCAAAATCAGATTAATTTTTCTTTACTCTGAATTTCTTAGAATCCTATCTCCTTTGAGATAACATCCCAGATGGTAACAGGGCTTTTACCAGCCAGATACAAGGGCAGTAACTGGAAGGCACCAGCCCATAAAGTAAGCAGCAGATTAACAAACTTGAAATTGGCTGTTCAGTGAGAGGAGAACACCAAGCTAAATAAGTGTTATATACAGCTAATATACAGCTAAAACGCAGCTAAATACTTGGCTCCTATTTATTCCCCCAAAAGCAGCAGGGAGCTGCATTTAGGACAGATTGACGCGGATGAGCTCTTGTCTGAAAACATATCCAGCAAAGAAAGACATTTGTTGGAGGGATTTTCTTTTAGGGTGATCAGCAGCCAGCTCACTGTGTGCTGCAGAGTTCATGCGTCCCTTCTCTGGCTTGTGTTTACAGTGAGTATCTGGAAGTTCACCAGACAGAGCTGGATAAGTTGACTACTCAGTTAAAAGACATGAAAAGAAACTCACGCCTGGTACGTGTAATGCTTTCTCACTGTGTGAATGCACAGTGAACCTCCTCGAGGTGCTGGGGCAGCCAGGGGGTGGGAGTGGGATACAGAGACATTGCGCTGATGCTCTTCTTCCCTTCCAGCCCTGGTCTTATTTGTGATCAATTTCTGATTTCTATTGACTGACAAACATTACTTTCTTATGGTCCATCAAATTTCTCATAGTGCTGTTATGCTGCAAAATTAATTATAATTTTGTGCTTTCTGTTGCAGGGAGTCCTGTATGATTTAGATAAGGTATGTTACTCCCTTTGACACTGGTTTTGCAAGGAAGTTAGTACCCTTACAGTATAGAGATAGCTGGCATGGGAAACCTCTCAGCCAGATCTACTGGTCAGGCCAGCACTGCTGAGGGAGAAGTTATCTGACAATTTGCTCTTGGAAAGGAAGAAGTCTCACTCCCCTCCTCTTCCCAAGGATATTATCCAGAACCTCTGGCAACCAGCTGTGCTTGCTAACCCAGCATCAAACTTACCTTTTCAGCCCTGTCACAGGGTCCATCAAGTTAAATGGGCTCTGGGACAAGCACAGGGAAGGAAGGGGACCCCTGCCCAGGGGAGGAGGGAGACAGAGGAATGAGACCTCCTATTGCTGTCAGCTGCCAGCCATTAAAGCTGTCACCTTCTGCAGCGTGGCCCTGTCAGATCCAGGTGGCTGGGAGGCTGGCAGGGGCACCTCGGGGGGGGTCTTGTGGGAGCCGTGTCAAGCCCTGGCTCATCCCTGCTCCTGCCAGTTCCGGGTTAGGAAAAGCTGAACATATTTATCCCTGCAGGAAAATCTGGGTGAAACAAAAGGGAAACTTTCAAAAATGTTTCCTGAACAAGTCTGGCTTTTGTTTCAGTCAAAATGCCAGGCCTGGTTTTGCTGTCAGAAAGTGTTTGCTAAGGAAGAGAATGGATTTTGAAATGCAAACTCTGATCCATTTTAGTACTGGTTTTCAAAGTACTTGAAAGTACAGTATTTTGGGTTAAAAAGGCTCTCTGCATTTGTTTGTTTGTTTTCTCTTGTATAAAAATTTAAAAAACTAGAGGGATCCCATCAAACACAACCTCATTTTTGTTTGAAAGTATATTAAGTGTGCAGGTCAGTGAATTCTGCTGTCAGCAGCAGATTAATGGTAGTAAGGTGGGCCAGCTGATTCCAGATTCATGGGCACTGAAACCCTCAGTGTTTTGAGGAGTTGTCTCTTAGATCCATGGGGACTAGCAGAGAAAGTGTGGTGGTGTCTTACTGATTTATTTTATGTGCCTCACCCTCTACCTCTTCCTCTCCTCCAGCAAATCAAAGCAGTCGAAAGATATATGAGAAGGCTGGAGTTCCACATTAGCAAGGTAATGAGCACTCCTATCCTCTTTCTTCTGCATCTGCTCCAATGTTATTATGAAAACAAACCTGTGGCCTCCTGCTACCCCTCTTCTCCAGGGAGGCTGACTTGATGAAGCCTCTCCCAGATTCAGTATTTTTACTGTGATGGGCTGGTGGTCAGAGCCAAAGAAAGGCTTTCACATGGTTTGTAGTCCCTGAGGTCCAGCTGTGCCCTGAAACACTCCCACCCACTGTTAGTATGGAGAGAACGTAGGGTTTGACACTGGCTGGGAAAATCTATCTCAGTGCAAGCTTATTGTTAAACTCTAGGTAGAAGGAGAGTTGCATCTGAAAGTAATTTAATTCAGCAATTGTCTCTACCGTACGCAGCAGCTAGATTGGATTTATTCCTGGATTTCACTGCTAACACTTTTGCTGCATGGCTTGGGGCCCACGTCCACTTGATCACATCGGTGAGAGTATTCAGTAGAGGTACTTGTGACTAATACATTTTACAGCCGGGCAAAATCCATGGCGTGTATTCTTCTACTTATAAACATATCTGCTAGTGATTAGTTGCTTTTCTGAGCCTGACAAAAGAATGAATTATTTTTGATGGATGAAATGTCTTTAGAGAGTCATTTGAAAAGCATTCACGCAGCTTGAAGTGCTCCAATTATAACAACCCATCCATACCTTTCAATTTGAGTTTTCTCTTGCTCTTGGAGATGAGAAAAAAAATACAAATCATAAGGCAATAGACTGAAATTTTGTTCCCCAAACCACCTTCTCTCTTGCTGGCAACATGAATGGCAAAATTAGTGCTTAAAGAACATTTCCTTCCAAGTCCTTCCCACTCCAGCCTGCTTGGATTTAATGGCTTCTGGGCTTATTATAGGACTGAAAAGCACTGAACACAAGAGGTAATGCTGGTCAGTATTACTCAAGCTTGCTGAGTACATTAGTTAACTTTCTGTAATCCACAGCAACAGAGACAAAAGGAACTGAGCTGCGCTGTGTTAAAGCTTATGGGCTTGGGCAGGTAAAGAAACATCTTTCTTTGTAATCATAGAATGGTTTGGGTTGGAAAGGACCTTAAAATCATCCAGTTCCAACCACCCTGCCATGGGCAGGGACACCTCACACTTAACCGTGTTGCCCAAGACTCTCTTCAATAGAGAAGGTCTTTTTCAGCAGCACCAAATAAGAGCCAGAGCAATGCATTCTGCCCCATTCCATAGAGAAAACAAAATGGGGAAAGTGTGCAGCAGCAGACCCTGTGTATTTAAGGGGCAGATGAGCATGCCCTAGCCATGTATACATGGGCAGGGCACAACATAAACCCTAGGCAAACACTTCACCCTGATGGCAGAAGTAAATACCAAGTGACAGCTATTTATAGTGGCTGTCTTTAGCTTGCTGACTTGCAAAAGACATAGCAGTGACTCCAAGAGGCTTATTTTGTAACTTTGAAATGGCAAAATGCTACCTGTGCCCCTATTACCCTTTGCTGAGCTCTTTCAATTTGCAAAGCAGTCCCTGTTTTGGTTAGCGATCCCTCAACTCAGAGGCTTCAGACACCAGGTATCCCGGCTAGCCTTGGAAAAGACAACCTAAGGCTTTGAAGCTGTCAGGAAGACCGGTCCCGTTCCAAATAAATAAGCAACTGCACATTTTGTTAGAGGTTAAACAAGGCTTGGAATATGGGATTTGGAACATCCCTGGATTGTTGCATCAGCCTTATCTCTAATGCAGCAACAAAAAGTCATACACTAACAAGTCAAGGTACTGGATGCTTTCATAGAGAGAAATTCTGCTGGGAAACATATACGTTCACGAGCTATACCACTGTGGACTCCTCCTGAACCTCTCAGATGGAATAAATATACACATTTAGAGCAGGGATTAGAGGGAAAAGGGAAACCAAAGCTTGAGATGTGTAAATCCATTGCATTCTGAAGCTAGATCCAGGCAAGCAGCGTGTGACTAGGGTTTGCAAAACTTCCAGAGTGCTTACAAAATGTTTGGTGCCCAAGTCATGGCAAAGGAGTTTAAGAAGATGACAAGGAAATTATCAGCCTGAGGGGCTGAAGCTCAATTTGACATCAGCTATTTCTAAGCCCCTTACTTGTGCTGATTCTGACTATGACTTCCAGTTTCTGGAGGATGGGCAGTGAGAATTCCAAAAATCACTCCCGCTTTCCAACAGTACCTACTGGTCAAATACTGCAACAGCCTTGATCCACAGCTGGCCTTAGCAATACATAAGACATTGCTGGCCCTGTTAAATGTGCCATTTAGTGTATCCAATCCCATTTGGCAGTGGGAGCATTGCAATTACCTTTGAAAGAGTTTTTCCACACCAATATACTTCAGAGGCTTGCTGCATGCCTGCTCTACAGTTACGACTGCACATAGCCCCATGTATGGGGGAAGGGGAGTAGCTATGGTTAAAGGCAAGCAGGGCAAACAGGTGAATTGCTGGCAGCATTTACTGTAATGAGATTTTTACATTGGAGGTGATTTTTATCTTGAGTTTCTTTTTCACAGACTCTAACAGTATCACAGCTTCAGTTGCTCAGCCCCTCCATTGGATCTAACAGCTTGGCTGAGTTTCCTTACAATGCAAATGACTTCATTGCTGGTTTTATTTTGATGGGGTTCTTGGGTTTTTTTTCCAATACACTTTCCTTGTTCCCACTAGGTGGATGAGCTTTATGAAGCCTATTGTATCCAAAGACGTCTCTGCGATGGTGCCAGCAAAATGAAGCAAGCCTTTGCAATGTCTCCTGCCAGCAAAGCAGCTCGGGAGAGTTTAACTGAAATCAACAGGAGTTACAAGGAGTACACAGAGGTACAGCCTCATCAGTTTGCTCTTTTTGCTCTCACGCTGTTTGAAGGTGATAGGAACTTTGCCACTGGTTTCAGGGAGAATTTCATCCAGATAAAAGGATTAAAAGCAAACTCAGCAAAGAATTATTACTTATTTGTCTTCAACTTGATACCTGGTGACTTAGAGAGGGTACATAGGGCCAGCAAGTTCCTTGAAATAATAACGTTCATGCTCTATGAGAGCAGGGTTATACCCAGGAACTGCTGCACAAGAAAAAAGCATAAATCTGCCCTGAACCTACTTATACTCCAACCGCTGCAAATTTGAGGATAGCAGGTTGGCTGGAACCCACATGTATACAGATATCTGCTGCAACCCATCCTGTTTTACTTACTGCGATTTTATTAAACAGGCAGTAGATGAACAAGGGTGTAATAGCATTGCAAGCATCCCAGCATACAAGCTGTAACAACCTTCCTAAATCTGATGGAAGAACCGGATTGGGCCCAATAACACCTCACAGAGTCTTTTTTCCTTAATGTAGTTCATGTTAAATCATGCTGGGAGCCACTTTGGCATGGAGTTGCTGCTGGCACATATCCTGGCTGGAGGGGAATGGGGGAGTGACCAGGTCATGCTTCAAGGGCCACAACTGCCCTGTGCCAATGGGAGAATTACAGTGCAACAGAAGAGCTCGGGTTACATTCAGCTTTGGCAGAAGCAGGCACAACTCAGCTGCCATTTTTAGGGTCAGACGTAGCTAAAGAGCGAGGGTGGCTCAGTGGACTGATTTTATTGCAACACAGCTTTCATTTGCATAACAGAATCTTCCCTTCCAAATAGACCTTAAAAAAAAAAGGGGGAAACAGAAAAAAAAGGCAGAAAGAGGGTTTGTCTGACCTCACCGTTCTCTTTTCTGACACAGAACATGTGTACCATAGAAGCAGAGCTGGAGAACCTATTGGGGGAGTTTTGCATCAAGATGAAAGGTAACTGCCTTTTCACCTTTCCCTGTTCTCCAAAATAGTAGCAGCCACTGTGCATGCTAGTAAGGGCATTGAGACATGCTGCTCTGATGTGTATTTATGATAGGTGTGGTTTGCCCCCCACCACAGGCATTGCTCAGCCCTCAAATCCCCAGCTTACACCCCTGCACACTGGAAAGGATCACAGAACCAGGACCATCAAAGCTAACAGAGAGGCATTCTGAGATGCTGCTGCTTGTTTTCAAGGCTAATTACTTCCCTCAGACACTCCCGTGATAGCCAAAGCAATTCGTTTTCGAAGGCTGCTGTCCCTTTTGCCTTTTCATAATCCTTTAAGAAGATGACTGGGAAATGTTGTGAATGCCCACGGAGCTGAAGTTCAAAACTTCCTTAGTTTGACATCAGATGTTTCTAAGTCCTTTACTTTTGCTGATCCTGATTACTGCTATTTTCAAACAAACGTAAAAAAAAAAAGGCAAAGAGCTGAGGTAGTTTACCATTTAATCACCTAGATAACTCTGTGGTGGCACCCACCTTTTCATTTTCCTCCTTGTCTTTATGACAGGGGACTTGACAGGTTTGCATACAATGGAATCAGTTTTACTTGAAGCATCAGTGAATCACCGGGTATTGCTAATCCTGTTATCCCTTTAAGACTCTTAAAGAAGAGATTGTAGAGGGATATCTTTTTTTGGATCTTCAATCACTGGCCGGAAAATAGTTCTGTGAAACAAAATCAGCATTGAAATACTCATGCACTCTTAATTCTTCACTTGAAATCTTGCCATTTAAAAAAATCCGCTGATGCATTTTTTAAAGCTTACCAATCTCATACAGGGCTTTGATTCTGCCTGCCTTGTCACAGTTGAGCTAGTTGTTTCTTGTGGTTGCACTGACATGATCTAGCTTAGATTAAGTTAAAATAGTTACTCTGTGCTCTCATATGAGAGAAACAAGCTGTTAGAGTTCTCCTAGCTCCATCCCACAGCATCAAACCTCAGGTTTTAAAGCCCCACTCTTCAGTACTGGAAAGGCAGTCAAAGATGCATAGATGTAAAGTGACAAGATGAACACACAGAAACCAAGTCAGATACTGCTATACAGAAACTCACAGCAGAATCATAGCACGAGCATGCTGAAGGAAACATGAGATCGCGTAGTATAGAAAGGGCACTGCACCAGGTCCTGCAAAGTGTTCCTCTACTTGCTGTAAATGCAGTGCGATGCACAGTTTCTGACAGCAGGACATGTTGCAGAAGATGTCATGGTGTCACAAACGTCTGTGCTGAAAAAGGTCTGGCCCCTTCTGCTATCCATATCCAAATCCTCCAGCAAAGCTCATGAGGTCTCGAGAAGTCAGGTGCTGCACTCATGCGAGAGATGAGCACAAACCTTGAGCAACAGCTACCTCTGAACACAGTTCTTGTAACATAAGGAAGCCCAAATTAGAAAATAGCAAAGAGAAATGCTGTATCGTTAAGTATTCTCTAATTAGGACATCTAAGATTTCTATTTAGATAGTCTTCCCTAGGAACAGCAATACAATAGGACAATCCAGCCACTGCTAAAGCTGACAACAGCTCTAGCACAAAAGCCTACAGATCACAGAGCAAGCTCCTTCCTTAAGTTATACTGCAGTATATCCAGCTAACTTTAGGATCTAATTTAAAATCAAAGCATTCCTCTCCCCAAAGCTTATCTGTTCCTAGCCATTCCAGTGAAAGTTATTTTTACGTTGTGCCCTCTGTCACTTACACTGAAAGCAAGCCAAACTACACAGCGCTGTCAGGAAGCAGGGAACCCACAATGCATTTTTACAACTGGTATTCAAAAAAAAAGCCCCCCAAAAGCCTAATTATTTTTCAAAATAAAGGTAATAAACTTCTCAGCAGGCTTAGATTACTGCTCAGGGGTTAATCAGGTGCTGAAATTAAACAGTGGAAATTCAGAAGTGCCTGTATGGAATCAGTGTGTCCTGTTATGATGCGTAGGGAAGTGCCCCTCTACCTCTTGGAAATACCAAGATAGCAGGAGGTGAAATAACCATCTCTGTCACCCAGGGAAGGCAATACACTGGCCTGATGCACCAGGGGCTCTGCAGCATGGAGCCCAGGGCCACAACCACAGTCCATGTGTCCACATGTCCAGCATCCTGCACATGGGCAGGGCTGCACAGGCTGCGTGAGCTTCAGGTGGCCCTGCCACCTTACCACAGCCATGTAAGGACCCTATTCCCTAATAACTTATCCTGACACCTCAGGAGCAATCACCCATTCCGTTTACACTACGGGCATGGTGCTTGTATAGTAGCCATTGGCTCCTGCTATGTGTTTAGTCCCCAAAAGCCAGTCAGTTACCAGAAAGTTTTTTCTAGGAAAGTACTATATCCCCTGTAATCAAGTAAGCTCTTAGCCCCCGTTCATCAGGCTGAAGAGACTTGACAAGCCTGGTTAGGCCAGTCACCACTCACAGACCTTGACTCCAGACAACATCCATGTGGAATTTTAGGCTGCGCTTCCCCACCCTCCAACCCCATCCACTGAGGAAAGAAAAGACCATTTATTTTCCTCAGATGCTTTCAGTGATGTATCCCAGCAGAGATCAAATTCACTTATAAAAGTGTGCCTGGGGAGAAAGAGGCAGCAGTGAAGTGCTAGTAAGCTTGAATTATTTATAAACAGTAAATAACCTAGGAAGGAATTGGTAATATGAGTGCTGTGCAAGGGCCCCTCTGTAGGGCTGTGCAGTAGGATGACTGAAGAAAACTCTTTTCTGGTCAAAGAAATGGAAGAGGAGGACCAAGCAGGTCACAGGGACAGGCCACGACTGCATTCAGGGATCGGGGCTAATTCAGCCCAGCAGATAAAGCCAATACTAGGGCTCACCATACTTGCTTTGATTTTTACACACCCGTATATGTTCAGTCATGGCATTTTAAAACAAATGCAGCCCGAAGACCCCAGCAATTTTGGTGTCATTCCTTTCTCTGCCCCAGGCTTTGTATGTCTCCTCAAGATGGTTTCTTTGGGCATTGCAACACTACTAGAGGCATAGTTTTATGGTAAATTTCTATAGCAAAACAAGTGCAGCAGCTACCTACTGAGGAGATCTGTGAGAAAGGGAAGGATCCCTCTGAATGAAAAACCACCAGTTCAATCCTGTAGAAGAGAAGGTCGCAAGGCGAGTAGAGGGACAGTAGCTTCCCTGGGATTTCAGCATGGTTCCTCAGGAAACTTTCACTTCATATGCACAGTGCCAGTATAGAAATAGCATCACCATGCCCTACCTTAAAGAAAAGATACTAAAAAGATCAAGTAAACACTAGTGCTTTGCTGCACTACTCTGCCTCTGGGGAAAGATGGGATAAATCTCATTTTACAGATGTCTGTCACTTTTTGTGATGTATTTACTATTGAAAGATACTCAGCTAGTATGGGAATGGTAATGTTAAGGAAATGCCAAGCAGAAGGAGCCTGTCTCATTTACTGTCTCTCTATTAAGATGTACTAAAAGGGAATCTGTGTTAAAATGTATAGCTCCATCTGATTAGTGTTAGGAAGCAAGCAGTGCATGGTATCCCACAGCTCACCTGCACCATGTGACAGTAAGGGTGTTAAGTGGAGCTTCTGAAGCCAGATGATGCCAGGGAGCTGTTTCTTCTTTTTCTATAATTATTATATAAAAGGAAACTTGGAGCTCTTCAGGAAAACCCGATGGGAAGTGCAAGTCTTTCTTATGCAAGAAGCCCCAACCCACTTAATTATGTACTGAAAAATAAATAGAAAGAAAATTAAGATGGGGAGGGAAAGGAGGCAGAAATAAGAGGGGGGTTATAGACATCCCCCAGCGAGTGGCTGAGTGGGTGTAGGGTGCTACCACCCTTTCCTGTCCAAGCACAGCAGCAGTGGCCTTGGGCACCCCACTTCAACCCATTGCTGGACACCACTGGGCCCAGGCCCTCCCATAGCCCCTCATGTCTTTCCTTCTCAGGTCTGGCTGGCTTCGCTCGGCTCTGCCCAGGAGATCAATACGAGGTATGTTTGCATTGGTTTATGGTTTATTTAATAGTAAAATAATCAGAAGGCAGATTTCTGCTGCTTTTCACATCAAGATGAATAAGACCTTTTCACATCAGCACCCCAAGAAACAGCAATTATTTTCCCAATATACACTCTGAAAAACCGTATAGTTCTCCTTATGTCTACCTTTGCCAAGGCATCTGCCAGAAGACCTGAAAATTATAGTGAGAGCACTGGATAATGTCTATTAGAAGGACTACAAGTTTTCTTTATGCTTTTTAACTTTTAAAAATATTATTTGTGGCAAACTTTTCTAATTCCCCTGGAAAATGCATATGTCACATCCCATGCATGTAGAGCAAACTGAACACATCCTTACTGGATGCTAAGACTTTACTTCGTCATAAAGCAGAGCAGCAGAAAGACACAGAATAACCATTTTTTAAGACCTAGATATTACCTGCTATGAGCCTGTGTCAGGATCTCTGGTCAGTGCAACATTTCAGTGGAGAATATTACCAGCAGATTAATTAAGTAAAAGCCTCCAGCTCTATCCAGAACAGAGCTAACCCTGCAATAAATCACAGTGGCTTGGTAATGGATCTCTCCAACCTGTACTTCCCAGATGTCTTGATCATTGATTCATTTGTTCCCACTGTCATTCCCTGTGAGAATTCTCTCCTGATGCTTTCATGCCTGCAAGCATGTGTTTCCCCTGTGGGGCCAATTACTTGGTACAGCTCTCTCCCAGCCAACCCCACAGCCCAAAATGGACTTGCTGCTCTTATCACTTCAAATTGCCTTACTGCATTGTTATATGCATCACCAGGCAGCCAAAGTCTCACAGCTGGCGAGGCCTCTGATGGGGGATACCCATGAGCTCATCTACCCTCTCTTCTGCCTGGGAAGGCAGCAGATCCAGAAAGCTGTAGATGTTAGGAAATATCATGGGGGCTTTCATCCTGCCTTCCTCGTTGCTGCTTTCCTGCAAATAGAGTTAAAACTCCTGCAGCTGGTTGTCATCTAGGTACACAAAGGTAAAAGCTGGGGCAAAAGGTACATTACCAAAAGTGTTTAGGAGAGCTGTGAAGCACAGATCCTACAGGATAGACCTTTTCCTTTTGGCTTGATGGGACGCAGAAGAACAGCACCAAGCCACTACCTCTTCCAATGTTTTACTGACCCTTTTCCCCAATTCTGCTTCTGATTTTTGTGCATCACGAGAGCAGATTTCTCAAGAAAATAAGAGGATGTCTCTTTTTCAGATTTTCATGCGTTACGGTCGCCAGCGATGGAAACTGAAGGGCAAAATAGAAGTGAATGGCAAGCAGAGTTGGGATGGAGAAGAAATGGTTTTCCTCCCTCTCATTGTTGGACTGATTTCCATTAAGGTACACATGCTGACACCTTTGCCTTCAAGCAAGGCAGGAGTCATGAAGCTGCCTTCTCACGCACTATCAGCAAACCCACAGAAACAGATCATTAAACTCTTCAGAAATGAGCTATCATTAGTATTTCCAACATACCTACTAGAGTGACGTACTATAGTATTGTGCATCCTAGATTCTATGAGACTTACCAGTTTGGGAGTCTTGTGGAGAGGTTATCCTAACTCTCACCATAGCCACACTAACGTGACCCTTGCCTCACATCACTCTCCAGCAACTCAGATCAGTTACATCAAAGCAAGGGAGCATTAGAAACCTGTTTATTAACAGCACTCAAGAAAACCAACAAAAAAATATAAAACCAAACAATCCCAGTCCTGATGAGTTTGTTAATACTGCTCAGACAAGAAAGCAGCATCTGTTGATCTGGAGAAATACATAGGTCTTTCCACCACTGCTCCATCCACTGTGAGGGTGCTGAGGCACTGGCACGGGTTGCCCAGAGAAGCTGTGGCTGCCCCATCCCTGGCAGTGTTGAAGGCCAGGTTGGATGGGGCTTGGAGCGACCTGGTCTAATGGAAGGTGTCCCTGCCCATGGCAGGGGGGTTGGAACTGGATGAGCTTTAAAGATCTCTTCCAACCCAAACAATTCTGTGATTCTGTGTCTTTTTCTGGTCTCTTACAGGTCACAGAAGTTAAAGGACTTGCTACTCATATCCTTGTGGGAAGTGTTACCTGTGAGACAAAAGACCTGTTTGCAGCTCGGCCTCAGGTGGTTGCAGTAGACATTAATGACCTTGGCACAATAAAGCTGAACCTTGAAATCACCTGGTAGTAAGTACAACTGGTTGGTTGGTTGGTTGGTTAAGCAACTGTAAAAATTCACTGCAAAAGAGAAAAGGTCCAACCATGTGGTCTCTTCTCTTTATTTTGCTTACTGCTGAAACAGATGGGGAAGGAATTGTGGCCCAAGTTTGGGAGATGAGAAATAGTTCATGGCCACCCCTAGATTCATTGTGTTACCTGTGGCAAAAGGGTTTTGTGTCTGGTTTTAGCTGTTAAATTAGGTTTGGTAAGTACTGACATTGAAAGACATGTGAAACATACAGTGATGAGAGATCACAGAATTGCCTAAGTGTAAAATTCTTCCCTAAGCTCAAAAGAGGGACAGAACTGAGTGCTCATATGTGCATTCGTTTTTTTAACATTAGTGTAAAGTTCAGTAGAGTTGTCCTGGATTTATGCTAGCTTAGCCAAGATCAGAAGTTGCCCATCTTTAAAAGCTGGCTTTTAAGGGCTTCATTCACCACGAGGATGGTAGGAAATCTCCTAGCATTGCCATATGTGTCTGCATCGGTCAGCACAGTGTTAGGATTCAAACCTAATTCTCACTGCATTTTAATGAAATAGGTAAATGAAGAAGCATTGATGTATTTAACTTTTACAGTCATGTATGCTGTTTCTTCTAATACAATAAACATGAAGTCAGCAATAACAGCTGCTGGTTTTCTTTATAATGCAACAGCTCTATTAATAGTAGAGCACCTTTCTCATTAGTATGTGTGACACTTGGCAACTCAAATCCAAGAATACTTTTCATGTGAGAAGAATAACTATGCTACATAAGTGATTTCTGAGAGTAGAACACTTACCAGAACAGAAAACCACACTTGGGAACCTGCTGTCTAATTAGCAACATTTTCTTTTAACCATTTCTGTTAAAAGAACTTGCTGCCTCTGCGTTTTGATGTGCTAATAAACCACCTTTTCAAACATCCTTTTCTGTGGACCTGAACTTCCTTCTCTCTCAACCTAACAACCTTTTGTTTTTCTCTGCTTGTGTGTCCATAGCCCCTTTGATGTTGAAGACTTGACCCCATCTGCAGGAAATGTGAGCAAGGCATCTGCTCTCCAGAGGAGAATGTCCATGTACAGCCAAGGCACTCCTGAAACACCAACCTTCAAGGACCACTCATTCTTTGTAAGCTCTGTTTAGCTTCATGTTTATGTAATGAGAAGCCCTAGAGCAGTTCAAGTACTGAAAATACTTCATTGCTTTACACATCGAAGCTTTTTTCCCCTGGTTGCAGCAGGTTACCCTTACAAATACTTATAATGAAAGCGCATTCCTAGCTGCTAATCCTAAAAGGTGGCTGTGATCTTGGCATCTTTCAAACTACGTGGGAAATTATTGCATACCTATTCTTGCCTGACTGCTAGAAAACCTGCATCAGCTTTTTAAAACGTGTCTTCATTTTGTAACAGTAGTTAAACAGCCATTACAGCACTAGTATTTCTAATGTATCCCATGATAAAATCTGTTCCCGTACCTAAGATATTCCTAGGGTGCTCCCACATTTTTGTGTGAATCAAATCCTGAATGTTTAATCAGGACTGCGTATAAACTGAATAGACCATCTGTACAGATATGAATTTTACAAGTGCTGATCCCATGCCTGTAATCTAGTACACTGCTGTAAAGCATTCATTTAACTTGCCCTTCCTCACACCCTCTTTGCTTTAACTGTTGAAGAAATGGCTGCATCCCCTGCAAGACAGGCCAAAGTTGACAATCTTAGATGCTCTGCAAGACACTTTCTTTGACAAGCTTCGTCGCAGTCGTTCTTTTAGTGACCTGCCATCGCTCAGGCTAAGCCCAAAGCTAGAGCTATATGTGAGTCCTCGTTTATGTTTGGTGAAGGATTTTGTCAGTCCCCATGTGGCATCTCCGTTCCCCCGCATGCTTCATGCGTTGATCTCTGTTGCAACTCACTCATTTTGCTGACTGATTACAGGGGAGAACATGACTGTGAGCCCATGCTGCTCCCACTGAATCAAAATTCCTCTTGGTTTCTACAGGGATAATGATCAGAAGCCAACTATTTGTGGGCAGAGAGCAGGGCAGGAATACAAGCTAATGGTATTCTCTAAAAATCTCCTGCTGCACTGATTGATGTTAAGCATTTGCTTAGTAACATGACTTTCAGATTCTAAAAGCATACCCATATTGAGGAAAAGAAGAAATAAACCTTCAAGTATAATTATATTTAGGGGGAAAAAAAAAGACTGCTGATAGTGCTGGGAAAAAAAAAGAAGCAAGTTTTTGGCACTTTTAGCCTTATGCACCTTACCGACATGTGCATGTCTATGGTTCTTTCCAGCAAATTGTCAGCAAAATAGTAGTTGCCTTTCATCTGTGCTGTGCATTTCTGTGAGCTGGTCACAAAACAGAGCAAGATCTGTAGGTCAGATAGGCAGGTTGTGACTCTTATAGTGATTTTTCTCCATAGGTCTGTCAGAGACATGACATGCTGTGATAACTTTTGGGTCTATGTATGCTGGTTTTGTTTCCTGAATGATCAGTGGCCTGGTCAGTACATCACCACACAACTCTGTTTCATTTTGGCAGAAACTCCTATCGAATGGGACTTCTATATAACTCATGCTCAACAATTAGGAGGGATATCCACATGCAGAACAAAATTTCAACAGAAAAGCAATAGTACAGTAATGTCACCATTTAAATGCCATGGTTCTAGAGAAACTTTTGGAGCAAACAGCACTAAATTTTGGGGATTGCTACTTTAGAAGTCAGAAAATAAATACAACAGAAATCTATAATGGATAGAAAAATGCAGACAGGGTGGCTTAAGTACAACTCCATCAAAAAGAGACATGTTGCAGGAACTGGAGCAGCTCACTGGAAATGCTGTCTGAGGGAATCTGGTAGGGCAAGCACAGTTTGGGTCTCTGTTCTGGGACTTGCTTGCTAGAGCTCTCTGCTTACCAGAGAGATGCTGAGCCCAAGTGTCCCAGCAGTTTTCCTGCTGAAATCAGGAGCAGTGCCAGATGAAAGCAGAAGTTGGATTTGAAATATCTTTCCCATCTTTCAGGTCTCGAATGCTTCTTTATTCCTATTCTTTACGTTTTTATTTCCCAGGCACACACAGGTTTTTTTCCCCTCTTTCCAGTGCTTAATGAAAAACATTTTATCTCCTTCTCCATTACCTTTTCAGTCAAATTTGCCAGATGATGTCTTTGAGAATGGAACAGCGACCACTGAGAAACGGCCTCTTTCTTTCACTTTTGGTGACCTGCCTTACGAAGACCGCGTGCCCCCTGCCAACTCAGCAGAGCCCTCTTCTGCTCACGTCAGCTCCAGCCCCGACATCACTGCGACCCCCACCCAGCACCAAGGTCTCGACTCCTCCAAGAGCTCAAGCCTGGACTGTAGCAGCAGTGACTCCTGCAGAGACTCTGTCACTGAGCCAAAGGACCTGCCGTCCCAGGGAGAGGGCGCAGTGATTGAGAACGAGAGCACTGCAAAGGCAGCTCCTGAAGTTTGCCGAAAGACCTCTGATGCTGGGAGCGATCATGTTTTCCTAGAAACAAGTGTCCCAGTGTCTCTCCTGCAGGACACGGATGAAGGTTCGGAGCTCAAGCCTGTGGAGCTGGATACCTATGAGGGTAACATCACGAAGCAGCTGGTAAAAAGGCTTACGTCAGCTGAGGCACCCATGACCCCAGAGAGGCTGCTGTGTGAGGGGTCGATTAGTGGGGAATCGGAAGGATACAAGTCTTACCTGGATGGAAGCATTGAAGAAGCCTTGCAAGGGCTTCTCTTAGCTCTTGAGCCACATAAAGAGCAGTATAAAGAGTTTCAGGAGCTGGACCAGGAGGTGATGCATCTAGATGACATCCTAAAAGTGAGTACGTTTTCAGAAAATACTACCCTAAAGAAAATCTGAGTGGGTAGAATCTCCTCCCCTGCCTCGCAAACATCAAAGTAGGGCTTTTGGAGACCAGTAAAACTCCTCAGTAGCAGTAGATTTGCTCCTGCTTGGAGCATCCTTTCACAGTGTTCAGTTTTTAAACTTCTGTGGTCAATGATGTGCTTATTGTAGCCTTGTATTCTCCAGCAATGGACCTTTTAACATGGTCAAAGCCTGGGAGAAAAAGAAAAACGTGCAGTGGCAGAGGGGTAATTAAATCAAACCCTTCTCTGGAGAAACCACTTTTGAATCCGTTGCTTGTGCCATACTGAGAATGAGATTATAGCCAACCTTCTGCCTTTTAAATCTATGGGTCGCATCCTCAGTGGGTGTACTCTGTGAAGCTGTGTAAAACTACATCAGCTGAGGATTGGGCCTTGCAGCCACAGAATCTGAACCTTCTAAATTACCTAGGGGATTCAGATGCACGAGTCCTGCTAAAGGTTGCCATCCCCACATCACCTAGGCTTCTTTCAAGCCTTTTCCTCTTTCCCCCCCTCCATTTTTAAAATGAGAGACATCCTGTCATTACATCAGGATGGACAGAAAGTGTTGACAAAAAGAGAAGCGTTTTGCATGTGTGTTGTTAATACCTTTACTGCTAATCACTGTGACTGGTATCTCTCCCACGAATAACAACTCTTGAGGCATTACTGTGCAAAGAGTATTATATGGGAAATAATCATTTCAAATGCTTCATATTCATATGCAAGTCGGTCTGCTAATCACTTAAGCCTCATCATTCAAAAACATGGCAGAGGGGGAAGGAGGGATGCGTTTATCCTTCAGAATCATCTTTACACAAAAGCTTTGTTAATATCCTTGTTTCCATTGGTGTTTGCAGCTGCATGGTACTTCCCCAAGTTAAGTGTTTTTTTAACAGCCTGTAGCCCCTGGATTTTGCACTGTTTCCCAAGGAGGTTCAAGCAGGCAAAGCTACCATTACTGTTACTTTTTAACTTTCTGGCTGCTCTGCAGCTTGTACAGAGTTCAGCTATTCGAACAGCAGAGGGACAATGGAGACTGCTGGTTTACACTCCTTTTATCCCAAGTTACAAAGGGTGGGATTGGGGGGAGAGGACACATGTACACAGACAAGATTCCTGCACTCTTGCGACGAATGCCTCTTCCAGATCTGCTTATGTCTGGGTGTCACCTATTGATCAGCTTGCAGACTGACACTCAGCATCGCCAGCAGCCGTGCTGGGCTCCCCGTGCGAAAAGGCTGAGCTGGAATCCAGCTGTGGCTGAAGAAATCTCTCTTGGCCATATTAGATGGGCAAAGAAAAGAAGCCCACATGTTGCTGTTTGCTTTTGCCTGAAGAAGCCCTGAAAGAAATGGCAGCTAAAACCATCAGTGCTGGCAGAGGAATCAGGATACAGCACCCACGTGTGTCACAGAGGTGCTGGGAAGTGTGTTTGACCAGCTCCTGACTGTAGAGTCAAGTGCTAACATACAACTGCTATAAAATTAATACTGTGTGCAAATGAACTGGAAACAGAACTCCAAACCCCCACAGCTCTAGAGCAGCTAGTGCTGAGTCAGCAGCAGCTCAGAGGCCAATGCATTTCTTTCTACAAGCTGAGACAGAGTCCTGGCTCCTGCCTAGAAGATGTGCTCCTGGCTGTTCCTGATCAAATAACCACATGGTGCTAAAGGTGTTGAAGTCACTGCACAAACCAATGGAGGTGATCCTTCAAGCTACATCTGCTCCTGCAAGGTGACCCTGGAATCAACTCTGTAGGCATGTCTGGATGTGTCATCATGTGGGACCAGAGTGTCTGATACTTCCTACAGCAATAGCACAGTTTCTGTCACGTTTCTTCCCAGTAGTGAGGTGGGATGGCTCCCCGCTCTCTACCACTGTTAACTTCCGAGTTACAATACTGGCTTTCTCTGTCAACTCTGATGCCTGATTTGGCTTTTCCTTGATAAGCCATGTGGCTTCAAAGGCCACAATAGTCCTCTCATCCCATGAATAAATCTGCAGATATGGGACTACGTTTACTCCTGATTAAGGTCTGTTGGAGTTACATCTGGAATAAATCCCACAGTGCCATCGGATATCTAGAAATTGGCTTCTGTAGCTGGAGAACAGTAATTACAGAATATGCCCTCCCCTTTCAACTTCCACTGTGTTAATTGCTGTCTCTCCTCTCGGAGAACACTGAAAGCTGAGTCACTTGGATTCAAGCTGTACTCCATATTCCTATAAAACACATCAAATTTTGCCTTTGAGGGTTTTCCTTTGGGGAAGAAAGTGGGTAGGATGGGGAGGGGAGGAGGAATGGAAGGGGTTTTCCAGTTCTCAGGCTTTGATTGTATGTGCTATGAATATGAAGGTTTGAAATGAAACACCCAATAAAATGAAGTTTAAAAAAATAAAATGAAGAATTTGAAAGTTTTAAGCTTTATTCTTTTTTTTTCTTTTCTTTCAGTAGTAGCTAATATCTGGGGTTTTCATTGGTTCGTTCTGCCTTTGCAGTGCAAGCCAGCAGTAAGCCGAAGCAGGTCCTCCAGTTTAAGTCTAACAGTTGAAAGTGCTTTAGAGAGCTTTGATTTCCTGAACACCTCTGACTTTGATGATGAGGATGGTGGTGGTGTGGAGGTTTGTAATGGTGGAGGAGGTGCAGACTCGGTATTTTCAGATACTGAGATTGAGAAGAATAGGTAAGTTTGTAGTAACTGCCAGCTGTGCTTACGCCAAACTGATACCCTAGCTCTTTGTCGCTAACAGGGGATCCCGGTGCACACGTTATTCAAGGAAGACTTGAGTAATCCTTGATGAGTTCATAGGGTCAGAGGGTTCCCCGTGGCTGCTGCATACAAAATCTTTAGCTTCCAGGATCATTTTTTTTCCCTGTTGAAATATATGCAATCTGTCCTCCAAAGGAGAAGGTTAAATTAAATTAAGCTGACATCAATACTGGCAGAGCCTCTTCCTTGACATAGGTTTGGACCTGGCTTTCCTTGGATGCAATTACTAATTCCTCTGTGGTTTTTTCCCCCCTCCCTTTGTCTTTTCTCTCTAGCCGAATGAGTCTTTGCAGTGGATTAAGCTTGTCAGTAACAATAACACAGGGCCAGATTTAAGCAGCATGGTGTAGGTTTCCTTTGGAATGTAAGAGTGATGACTGGTACTCTGTTCATGGCCCTGCGTGTTACCTGCCCTTCTTTCATCACTTTTGGTCTTTCTGAGAAGAAAAAAAAAACAAAAAAGAAATAGCTGTGGTGTTTGTGCTGTGGTCTGTCATTGTCGTGTGACCTTAAGATGCTGTGTTTCAGTCATTAGACCCTGAAAGCATGTTTGCATCCTTGCAGCTGACACAATGCCCAGCAGGCATATAAGCAGTGCTAGAGCTGGAAAAAAAGAAAAGAACGTGGCTCCCTGGCACCCGTTGCTTCCCAACCAGGGAGCTATGCTTCTTGCAGCTTATTGTGGCCTGTTTGAAAGGATTTTGAGTGCAAACAAGCAACCACCGTGCAGTTCCCACCACCACACCGAGTATCTTTTCTCCAGAATATGACTTGGTGGGAAAACAAACTTGGAAAATGGTGTTGCTTACTAAAATGGCACTGAGCTCATTCAGCCTGTGTTGATTTAAGGATCTGGCTTTAACCAGGCGCTTTAGCATAAATTGAACTTAGGCAGCAAAAATGTAAGTCAGTTACAAGCTGACTTGGAAAGCAACTCAAATCTCCTAAGCGAAAGTAGAAGTTACGTTTTCTTTTTTTCCCCTCTGGCTCATCCCCAGACAGTGTAGATTCCTGCTTCCATTTTTAGATGTGTAAGTGTGTGACTCAGTGTAAAGATTGCAAGTGCTGAAACTTCTGAACTTGCAGCCAAATACACTTGCCATCTGGGGATTGACCTCAGGCTTTGTGTTTAAACACATTCGTACAAGACAATGTGGGATATAAGGATTTAAAACACAGTGAGGCCAGCTTTACGCTCTTACAGAAACAATTAGCAAAGCAAGCTGTACAAATTGTGCCTGAAACAGCATATGAAAACATGATGTCCCTGACTCCAGCAGTGGATTTCCTCTCCTTCTGCAACGAGCATTAGGTTTGGTAGCAGGAGGACAAGGAAAGCACAGAGCTGTTCTTAGCAGCTTGGTGCTTGGGATGGCACGAATGGTGCTTAACCCATCTCGACTGAGGAGGCGATTCACCAACAGATGAGAGGAAGCTGTCACCTCCAAGCGACAGTGCCTGCAGGTTAGAAAGGGTTGCTGTTGAGGGCATTGCATCGCTCAGGGCAAACCAGTCAGGGCCCAGAGAGCCGTCCCCTCGGTGGGTACGTCCCTCCGGCGCCCGGCCAGGCAGCGCTGCCCCTTCGCGGTATGATGTGGCTGCTTCCAGCATTGCTGCTTGCTTCTCACCCTGAGTGAGCCTGTCTGTGTGTGTGTGCCACGGCCGTGGCGGGCCCTGCACTGACCGCTCCTCCCTTCGTCCTCCCCAGTTACAGGACGGAGCACTCGGAAGCCAGAGGGCACCTGAGCGAAGCTCTCACCGAGGACACTGGCGTGGGCACCAGCGTGGCCGGCAGCCCCCTGCCGCTGACCACGGGGAACGACAGCCTGGATGTCACCATAGTTAAGCACCTGCAGTACTGCACGCAGCTCATCCAGGTACCAGCACAGCTCCTCTGGGGAAATGTGGGGTTTTCCTGCAGGCACCTGTATGTGTGTGCCTGTAACGTGGGGTACGAGCAGGGTCTGGGCTGCTCCTGGGAGGCCGTGTGAGCACAGCGCTGGGACAGCACCTGTGTGGGGTAGGACAGTGACACGCTTCACCCCCAGCCCGCTGGAGCAGGTCTTTTTACAGGGACATATAGTGATAGGACAAGGGGAATGGATTTAAACGGAAAGAGGGGAAACTGAGATTAGATATTGGGAAGAAATTCTCCACTATGAGGGTGGTGAGGCACTGGCAAAGGGTGCCCAGAGAGGCCATGGCTGCCCCATCCTTGGCAGTGTTCAAGGACAGGGCTTGGAGCAACCTGGTCTAGTGGAAGGTGTCCCTGCTCATGGCAGGGGAGTCAGAACTAGATGATCTCTAAGGTCCCTTCCAACCCAAATCATTCTGTGCTTCTATGATTTCCATCCTGGCAGGGCAGCCCCTGCTCTGGGTTACAAATGTCCACTGGCTTCACCATGAGGTCCTAATGAAACAGGCCCCTGATTAAGGCAGCCCACGTCTTCAGTGGTAAACCAGAAGCCCGTGGCCCCACTGAGACAAGGCCTCCATGTTCAAGAGCAGAAGTGAATTTGTGCAAGTGAGGTGGACTGTCTGCAACAGACGCAGTGAAGGCAGCACATGACAGCCCCCTGACACATGGCAGACATCAAAACTGTCTGTTCATGCTCACAGCTAACTAGCACAGCGTTTTAGAGCTGTTCTTTTTTTGGAACCTGAGCACAGGAAAAGTGATTTTAAACCTCCAGCAAAAGTCACTTCAGCAAGCAAGAGCTTCAGGGTTTTCCTGGGAATCAAAACATACTGCAACTTCCTCTTCGAGATTATTTGGCTCTTCCATCGTAGATATAATTAGCTTTATTTTCCCAAAGGCCCACTGAAGCAATAGAGAGCAAGCCAAATTCCATTACCTTTAGTGCTGAGCTGGACACTGCTGACTCACAAGTATGAGAAAAAGGGAGGGTTTTGGTTTAAATGCAAGAGTACACAGTACATATTCAGCTAGGGGAGGTGAGCTCGAGCTATTGTCCACACATGGAGCAGATTGGATATGAACAATATTTATGTGGACTGCTGAAGAATGACGTGCAGATGCCAGCAGCAGGGAGAAAGCACCAAATTAATAAAGGCACCTGAGTAGTTCATCAGAGCTGAAATGGAGAAAGAGAGACCATTGGTGTGCCCCCAGGCAGGGATGTCCTGGAAGTCTGCAGCCTATATTATGTGAAAGTCAGACTAATATTCTGTTCTGGCTTTAAGGCTTATGATGATAGATTCCTTTAGCTTTGCAGAGTGCATAAATCAGAAATTACATATGCAAATGGCTGCCTGGATAATCAAGTGTCTGGATCTGGATGTAGGTGTTATATGAGATATAAACAACAATGCCTATCAGCCACGACCATACAATATCCCAGAGAAAAATAACTTTCAAAGTTAAGGAGACACCATGGTTCCAGGGCAGTGAACTTGCTATTGCACTTCAGTTGCCAGGTGTTTTTTCTTCTGAGGTTGACTCCTTCTCCTCTCTCCCCATTTGTCTCCACCAGCAAATTGTGTTCTCCAGTAAAACACCTTTTGTGGCAAGAGACCTCCTGGATAAGCTGTCCAGGCAGATCCTTGTGATGGAGAATATCGCGGAGATCAGCAGTGAGAACTTGGGAAACATCACCTCCCTTACTGATGGTAAGAGACAGTTTAGGGGGTGTCCTTCTGAAAATGGTTTGTTTGGGCATGCATGCCTGCTGAAATGAGCGCTGTGCAGAGCTCACCATCACTGGAAGAGATGCCACCATAGTAAGGGCCAACTCATGACTCACCAGCAGATGTAGCAGTTGCTGACCACAGCAGGTCAGGGACATTATTCTGTCTTCAGCTCTGGTATCTAACCAAACAACTGAGAAGAGAAAGAACTTCTTATCCTGCCTGTTGTGCAGAAGATGCACAGAGGTCCACCACCACTATAATGGAGTGGGGATGCTGCCGCCTCTGAATAGCCAAATTCTTCCTCCACCTTGCTTTCCTCTTTCCCAAGGAAAGGCAGGATCTGCCTTATAACTATGAGAGGCATAATACAACTTTTTTGAACATTTTATCAATTTTATTTTGTCATCTTTATGAAGAATTATTTAGTTATTTTTCCTGTTGATTCATCTATTTTAATGCACTGGAAGAATTTGACAAGCACATAGTTACCCTTGTGAACACTCTGACATGATACATAAATACAACATGGTCTATTTACTTTGTTTATCAGAAAATGAAAGCAAGATTGAGTGACTTACCCAAGGCCACAAAGCAGTGCTAGGAAGGGACAAGTCTTGTGTAGAATGCTTGTGGAATTTCCCTAGTATTTTGTGGTATTTAAAAGGAAGAGACGTGAATGCCCAGAACTGGATCAGGAGCAGATTTTCTCACATCCTGCTACGGGAAACAGAAAAAATGTGTCACAAAGTTGGGGTGAGCACATAAGCACACTCTGTAAAGGTAATGGCACAAGGCGACGCACCAAACAGTAACTGTCTATCAGTAGGTGAGGTTTCCTTTGCTCTTACCATCTTTTCTCTTCTGGAAGTTGATGCTTCTAGCACTGTTTTGTTTCATTGTTCATATTGTCTTTTCCTCCAGCAATTCCAGAGTTCCACAAGAAGCTATCATTGCTGGCTTTCTGGATGAAGTGTACTGGCCCTTCGGGAGTGTATCACACATCTGCAGACAAGATGATGAAGCAGCTGGATATCAATTTTTCCACCACTGTGAATGAGGAGTGTCCAGGACTTGCAGAAACAGGTACCAACTACTGCAGAAAAAAGTGTCAGTTATCAAAATGGAGAGCAGTTGTGTACTTTGACCTTCATTCATTTGACCTTCATTGCTTTGTTTTCTGAGCCCTTGGAGGTCTGTTTCATCATAGCTTCAAGATCTTATTTTAAGTCTAATGCTACAACTCTTGAAACAGTTTTGGCCCCAAATAATGAGATCAGAATAGGAGAAAAAGGTGAGGTCAGCAAAAAAGAAAATATGGTGATGTTTGTGATCTAATGATGTTTATGAGCTAATTGTAAAGTAAGTCTATTCCAAAGTACAAGCTGAAGTACGAATCCTCACACGTAATTTTATGTGTCTGCATAATGTCCATGCCCCATTACAGTGCACTGGGGATGAAATTCATACCCATTCAAGTGAGTTTATATGAAAACAGGCTCCACGTCTCAAACTCCAGCTATACAGACTAGCTGTCTGTGGGACAGAACAGGGAAGTGGGGTGACTTGCTCAGGAGTGAGCACCTGCACTGCAGAAGCCTACCCAGAGCATTGTTTTCCTTCCTGCTCCATGCTACAGTTCTCACAGACAGTGCCTCAGACTAGTTTTCTTCATGCCACATGCTCACGCAGGAACATAAAAACAAGCCAAGCCAACAGCCAAATCCTGTCTCTGTGAGCATCGCAGAGAGGTGATTGACAGTGCATGTGGATACGTGTTTAGTGATTCAGGATATTGTTTGGGTAGAAAGAACACTGTACTGATTGGATAGGAATCTGCATTAGCCATCAGTAAACTGGCAGAGGTTCATCCTTACAAAGATATCCTCTGGTGATAAGAGCTAGGCAGGGAGAAGGTCTGCCTAGCTTGTAACCTAGCCACAGCTGAGGTTAGAAACATTGGGAAGCATCTGGCTTTGCAAATACGGTTCCTTCTTTCTGGCTGTAAAGTAGACTGCAGCATTTTGCCAGCAGCTGTTTTCCCTCACTAATACCTCCCTTTGTCCATGACTGCCTGCAGTCTTCAGGATCCTGGTGTCTCAGATCCTGGATCGGACGGAGCCTGTCCTCTACTCCAGCATGTCCTCTGAGATCATTACCGTCTTTCAGTATTACAACTATTTTGCCAGCCACAGTGTTAATGACCTTGGAAGCTATTTGCTGCAGCTTGCAAAAGAAGGTAGGATATATAAATTCTGGTGGCTAACAGGGGGGTCCATTGGTGTCTTTCTGAGTTCAGCTCAAAACAATTCAGCCCAGAGGCTAATTTTACAAACGAAGGGGGCAAAGGAGTTGAAGAAGTGCCTTGGATAGTAAGTCCAAATGCACCTGAACCCACTGAAAGAAAGGAGCTGATGCAGATACATCCACAGTCATTTCTATTTCTAGTCAAATGGGAAAAACTATGTTGAAAGTTAGTTTTTAGGAAATGGTTGGGAGGTTTTCTGTGCCTGCCTGGATGACTGGATGACATTCCAGTTTTTCACTGTCCTTAATGAAGAGACCTAAGTGATTCTCAAGAGCCAAGGCATCACAGCACTTCTGTGTTTGACAGGCTCTGCCATTGAGAGCCAAAGAAAAGCAGGCGCTTCACAGAGCTCTACAGTGTTCTACACTGCAATCCCTGGCCTGCCAAATTTGCTTCTCTGAGAGGGAATTGGAGGAACCTTGCCCAGTTTTTCATTATTATTTGGGCTTACTGGGGAGTTTTACTAAAAAACCTGGAAGTAAAAAGGTATTTCAGCCCTCTGGAACAATAACACATGGCTCTGGGTGGCGGACATCAATCTGCCTAGGAAAAGCTCTCATAAAGATGCTCTGGAAGTCACTACCCTGACAAGGATATGGGTTTCACTTGTTATGGAGAGGATCTGCATCTTCCAGAAGAAAGTGAAGATTTGATAGGTAGGCCCTTAGCTCAGAGTAGGCGTTAAATGCTGCAGTGTCCCACCTAGCCCATCTATTCATCTCCTTTGGAAAAACACGTGGGAAACCAGCACAATTTACAGCCCAAACAGTTCACTCCCCATGCAGACACTGCAATACTGCAATTACTCAGAGGGGGATTTTTTCATGTACTTTGTCTGCATAGTATAAATTGAGGATTGCTGGCAGGGAAATCTGGGATATTCAAAGCATAAAATAAATAACAAGGACCCTTCTCCTGCAATTCTAGCCTCTGTGGTTCAGGTGCTGCAGTCAGTGAAAGATGGAAAACTGCAGCAAAATGTGGCCAAAATAAACTCCAATAACCTTCCACCACAGCAAGAAGTTTTGAGAGCTTTGGCTTTACTTCTCAATGAAAATAAAAATGAAGTCAGTGAGACTGTGGCATCACTTCTGACAGCTACTGCAGAAAACAGGCACTTCAGGGAGAAGGTAAGTGGCAGAAAATCATCTGTCACATGAGATACCTGTATCGTCATGATGTTTTTTCTGCCTAAGTGTCTCAAACGTCTACACATATAAAATAATTTCTCCAAGCTTGATTTAACTTACCCTAGGGGGATTTCCCATCTAATTTTTCTGCATATATGCAGGTCTGTTTCTGTCATTACACCAGTCTGCTTCTACCTGTCATTACACTAAGCAGGTACTAACCAAAACTGAGGTACTTACCGACTGCTGTGCTCTCCAGGTGTCTTACACACTTCAGCATTTCTGCTGGCCTGTCTCAGACTTGGCTTCAGCCCAAGGCTTCAAGGCAATAGTCCTCAGCATCACCAACATGCAAAGAATTAGGTCTGGGATTTCTGTATTTTTTTGCAAAAGAGGCATCTATGGGACCTCCCACCATTTCTGGGAGGGATGGACTACCTTGAGCAGATCTGTCACAGGTATACAGCAGCAAACAGGGCCAGATTAAACCCAAAAATGAAAGAGAAGGGAGAAGAAGAATAAGAAGAAATCAGGGGTTGGTTTCTACTCCTTCATGGCAGACCTTTCCCAGCTATCCTTCTTGTTCCCTGTCAGGATAGAGCAAAATAAGAGGCAATTGGAAGAGGATAAGTACTGGAAAGAAGGCAGAGAGAGGAGATAAAGGAGCTCACTCTTCGCTGCTCTTCTGTGTAGATCCAATCCCCTCTATGCTTGCCCTCCCACTTCATCTTCCAGTTTTACAGCCTCTTGGTATCTCATTCCATCCAACCCCAGCACCATGGAGGCAGCATCTCAGGTGAAATAGAACTTCCTCCTGGAACAGGCATGTGTAGGTGGTACCTAGCTCACTGTTTGCAGGAAGAACCACAGGGTGCCTTGTGTGAGGGCATTATGCAGCCCTGTGCTGCAGTTGAATTCAATGTGCAGCCAACTGTTGCTGAGATTTGCTGCTCACACTGGTTTGTTTGCTCAGCAGTACCTACTAATTTCTAGGGCCACACAGTGAAGTGGTCTAGCAGCTCATGCTAACCTTATAATAGATACCTGCAGTCCCCCTAGGCTCCATCCCAGACTGTTCATTACTACCTCTGCATTAGAGAGACCATCTCAAGGGTCAGCTCTTGAGCTATTTAGACTCCAAGGCCCATTTAAAGCTCTTTGGCAATTTATATGGAAAGGCTCTCAAGGATGCCAGACTGTGCTTCTTGCTTTCACATGAACTGTTCCTCACCAAAAGCTGGCCTGAGATTACTAAGGAATAACTAGTGGCCTGGCCTGCAGACAGTTCCCTATCTGCTGTAGGGAATTACCCCACCATATTACCTGTAGCAGGTGCTGTGCTTCTCCATCCCATGTGCTCACTTCAGCAATCCCTATCCCTTTAGCAGGGCAGCAATGCCTCCACGTTCCTTCTGCTCCATACAGACACAGACATTTTCATCACTACTCTTCTTTATCTTTTTTCAGGCCTTGATTTATTACTGTGAAGCACTAACCCAGCCCAACCTCCAGCTGCAGAAAGCAGCTTGCTTGGCTCTAAGGTTCCTCAAGGTAAAAGACAATGAATTCATTGTGGTTCTTGGCTTTACTTTAAAGAAAGGATATCTGAGAGGTACAAACAGCAAAATAGGAATTGCAACAGCAGCAGCAATAGTGGTTTTGTTTTGCATTCCTGCACTGCTTCCTTTTACAGATACTGTACTGTTTAGGAATGGTTTAGAAGCTTCATGGCAAAAACAGCCGGGCTCTGTGATGATGACAAAGTTTATCTTACCTTTTGCACTTCCCAGGCTACTGAGAGTATTAAAATGCTGGTCACACTCTGCCAGTCTGACAATGAAGAGATCAGAAAAGTGGCGTCCGAAACCCTGCTCGCCCTTGGTGAGTTGCCTGGTTTAGAGCAGGATTAATTTTCCTTTTTGACAAAGCAGTATGTAAGATACCTAAGTTATGCAAGCATAAGACTCTAAATTGAAACAAAGCTTTACCTAGAGACTTGAACAGACTAGAAAATATATATTCTTAAATATCATTCATTTCGAAAACCATGAAAATGAGCCAGAAAGAGAGATCAAATTGTGTGAGCCTGGAGGATGAAACAGAAAATTAAAAACAGCAAAGGAGAAATTGACAAACAGAAATAATTCATAATGAATTTGAAAACCAAGCAGCACTGAGGATGCAGGATGAGCAGACTGCCTGCTGCATCTCATAAAACCCCTCTTGGAGATCCCCTCCTATCAGTCACCCTTGTAGTGCCACAGTCACACTCTCAAATGCCATCAGCACTGCCAAGTGTTCATTTATATGCTTATTTGGGCAGACCCTAGCCTGCAAGTCCTTCACACCATAACTCAGGCACCTTGCATCGACCCTCATTTGTCCTTGAGACAAGAGATACCCTGTTCATTAAACTGTAATCTAGCTGCATAGCAGCGTGTGACTGCAAGCGTGGCCGCACAGTTTCAGGGCATCTGTATTCAAACCACTACAGTTTCAGGGCAGTAAAGTTGTATTTTAATGGCCTTTATATCACGCATGAATTTCTACTCCATGTGTGTGCCCATCTGTGATTTTAGTTCTGCAAACCCTTCAAATATACTCTCTTTCATTCACCAGTTCAACAGGAATTCACTCTGCTGTTGGACGTCTCAGTGCTCACTTTATAAAACAAATAGTGCAGTGACACTTCTGAAATCTCTGGGAGATCTCTAGACAAAACAGAGAGCTTTTTGGTTCCTAATGGCCAGTTCAGCACACTAGGCTCAATTCTATCTTGAGGTACACAGAGATGACAGTGCCTAAGAGAAAAGGGTTTGAGAGACACAAATAGTTAAATCTAGCAAATAGACTGCTTCTTGGGTTTCAGTGGTGTAAGTGAAGAAGTGGCTAGACTCACTTATTTAAAGTGTTAGGAAGTGAGAATTGGGTAAGCTTTATACTGTTCAAAGTAGAAATAGATAAATATCATCTCCCTCAAGTATATCACAGCTGCAACTGAGAACTTGACAAGTACCACAGGTCATTTGGTAAGCCAAGGGTACAGATAGTGTCATCTAATCATACAAGTCACATCTGCGTCTGCTTTGCTGTAGATAAACCCAGGAAATTACATGAGAAAGTAAAATAATCTAATATTCAGAGCACGCTTAACTTTTCCATTTAATTTCTGAAGTTGCCTTCAGCAAGAGGAATTTTAAGGGGAAGAAGTTAGTGGCTGAACAGTACTTCCTAACAGCAGAGAATCCAGTATTTTAAATGTTGTAGGGCAATGACATAATACATTGTTATGCGTTAACATTTTGCATCCAGGTGAAGATGGAAGACTGGCATATGAACAGCTGGACAAATTTCCCCGGGAATTTGTTAGAGTTGGAAGCCGCCGTGGAACTGAAACTGCCACAGCTTTTTAGGTGGAAAAGCACCTGCCTGCACGTGACATGCATTGAAGTAGGATGAGGCTGCGCTTCAGTGTGGGGAGCAGAAGGAAGACTTTGAAGAATTCTAGGAGAAAGCCCTCAAATGTAGCAATTTACAGACTTCTTAAGGAAAGGCAACATTTAAAATCCAGCTTAAGTGTTCCTACTGGCTCCTCTTTGCAGCTCATGATGGAACAGCTGGATGCTGAGGAGCTACCCTGACCGATCAATAACGTATGATGTAATCGCAGCTATTCAGCCTCAACACACTTCTGTGAGTTTTTAGAATTTGGCATCTTCATCTGTTTTACTGAGTATTGCATTTACTTCCTTGAAGTTGTTGTGAAAGCTTGAGATGTGCGATACTGTATCTAAGAAGGACAAGTCGGAGGCCACCTAAACAGGACAGCAAAGAAGCCTTCTCTTGGCGTTCCCACCAACACTCCAGCAGCAAGGAATACCACTTGGCCTTTTCATTAATGAAAGACAGAGCAAGTTTCTTCAAGTTTTGCCTCCAGAAACAGCATGAAACACCCTGGGAGGTGTCACTTTGGTGACTCATTCTAAATGCCTTCACTGGTCTTTTATTTCCTTTCTCTTGCCCTCCAGCAACAAGCTGTTATTAATGCAGAGATTTGTGAGGGGGATCAATCACGTAGGTTTCTGAAAACTAAATGAAAAGGTAAAGTGCATTTATTTATTCCAGGAAGGAGTGAATACAGCTAATTGAACGAGTCCCCAAAGCCGTTTGCTCCTGTAAGTTGCAAGCAGGCTTGGATTTCATACACTCTAATTAGTGGATCATAGCTTTTTATAGTCATTTCAATACAAAGAACTAGAACAAGTGGACCTAGAAGGCAGTAATAAACAGAGGGTGAAGTGAATGCGTTTCCCCCCTCCCCACTGCAAGGATGAAAAACAGCGAGTACTTTGAACTGTTGATTGTGAGCCTTAAGTTAACAGAGGAGGTGAATAGAATTTAACAGAAGAGTGTTCCTGTACTGTGTTCATTATGCATGAAATGCTATTTAGATGTCAGTTGAAGTATCCAAATTTGCATAGGCTACATAGAAAAGATTGCAAACAGTTCACATCAAAAGGAAGCCTTGTGCGCCAAACACTTGGCAGGCCAGGGCCCTTTTGTTTGGGTTTTTTTTTTACTGTGAATGTTACAACAGTGTACATATCTGTATATTTATAAATACATATTCTTCCTTTAATTAAAAAAGTACATTTTGTACAGTTCAAAATGCTTGTTTACTGAGGAAGATCGACTCTTTTTGCAGCAGGTGAAATAGCCATGTTATGGTTTTTATACCACACCTCTCCCATCAGCTGAATTCTTCCAAGGTGTCCTTTTGTACTGACTTCTGCTTCCTTTTTTTTTTTTTACTATTTTTTTCTTTTAGTTTTGTGGCATTTGTACTCACCATATTTCCTATCACATTTAAGTTATAATAAAGATTATTTTTTAATTACTAAGCACATCAGTCCATATGTATAGTCCCTCTTTCTATCAGCAGCCCCTCTCCTGTGAGGCTCATCCTGCGAGTCAGGTCCCAGGTAGCTCTTACGTTCACTACTTGCAGCTGGATTTGGGGACAACCATTAGGTCAAAACTTTATGACAATCTCAGTTTAGCTAAATTATATGAAGTCACCTGATGATTTCTTACAGCATAGAAAAGATTTGTGTTCCACACCAGATCAACTTTAAGGCTTAGAAGAACATTCAAGTCTTACAGAAACATCATAACAAGTGAACTACATGTAACAAGGACTGCTGCCTGAGGGCAGAGGACTGCAACTTCTGCAGGGGTGAAAAGGCACAGCACTACCTTGTGTTCTAATATGCACACCACCTGCATTTCCTTCTTTTTGCTGGACAAGAAGGGAGCATGTGGCAAATTGTTTTAGTAATTGAAACAAACACACAAGCCACAAAAGTAGAAAAAGTAGAGAAGAGATGAAAGTATAGTGAAAACAGCTGCTGTTATCTGTACCTCTGTGAGGTGAACCAAAGCACTTCCTTCAAAAAGCCAGTTTTAAACCCAAATGCTATTTTGGAAGACAAGGGGAGGACTGTGCCCTCTCAGTGTTCGTTCCTTCTCTGGTTGCTTCATGCATGTGTGCAGGCCCTTGCTTTCACCCCAGAACATCAGCAGGAGGTATACAGTATTTAAAAAGAAGATGAGAATGTTCTTATATTCCTATTTCTGCCAAAATCTCCTACTTGTAATATATACTGTCAGTCAAAGGTTTGCTTGTAGTCTGCTATCACAGCACAGAACATGATTTTGTTAACACAAAAGCCACAATGCCGCTGGTTATAGGTGCTACCTCCTGAACTGTCACTTCAGAAGGAGCAGAGTTCACTTTCAAGCAAGCACTAGCACCCTACACTTCTAGCTAGTCCTAGTTTAAGTTTGGAGCAAACCAGCTTTGTGTATCCTTCAACATAATCAAGAAAGGCGTCACAAGGACTAGTGGAAAATATGCTGAAGAGGCTCCAGGGCTGTTACCAGACTTTCACTGGCTACTTCTTCCTTCTGTGAAGACAGACTCTTCTCAGACAGATGACACCCCTTTTCCTCTTTGCAGACATTCAGCCCCATGGCACAGACCTAGGGAATGCAGAGCTGCCTATAGAGCAGAGCCAAAGGTGCAGAGAACACAAGGCTGATCATACGTACAGGTACCATGCCAAGTGGAACGTATAGCTACTTTTATCTCACTGTAGTTTAAATCCACCTTTAGAGAAGTCCATTAACCTAAAGCTGATCTGCTACACCATAACCATTAAAAACCACGTACACAGCTCCTATGAACCAGGAAGGTCCAAATCCTCCTGTCAATAAAGTCAGTGAGGAAATTCACAGGAATTTAAGTGGGAGTGGTTAGACCAAATTCAGTTCCTGTTGTGCTGAGACTGACAAGCTTGAACCTGGGACACAGACATAGAGAGGCTAAATTTCACTTTGAGTGTTAACCCTGTGTTAGAAAGCTAACAAAGACTCATGCTTTAACATGATTCGTGACAACATATAAAATCACATTCTCAATTTAAGACCAAAACCAAACAACATCCCCATGACCCCAGGGTAACAAACCCTTGAAAAAGTGAACAAACTCTGGAAGCTCCAAAACCAGAAGGCAAATAAAAAGGAACAAGCACTATATTTGTCTCATAAATTACATGCTTTTATGCTTGCAGAGCTGACAGTGCTGCCCCTTACTACCACACTAATGCAAAACCTCTCCTTTGTAGGACAGGAAAACACAGATCTGTAGAGGTGAACATAGCAAGAAGGACGCTTACTAATGAGCAAAGAATGAACCAACAGGCAGTAATTGTAAGTTACACCTTCCATTAGATCAGGTTGCTTAAAACTCCTTCCCTGGCACCGTTCAAGGCCAGGCTGGAGGGGACTTGGGGCAACCTGGTCTAGTGGAGGGGAGTTGGAACTGGATGATCTTTAAGGTCCCTTCCAACCCAAACCATTCTATGACTCTATGACAAATCCTCTTTCTCAGGGCTGCAGCAGGTTGACTAGAACAAATGTAAAGGTCTGGGCTGCCCCAGAAAAATACTTTAGGAAGAAGTTGCTGTACTGAAGTAACTCGGTAGTGCAGACTAAGGAGACAGGGAGCTAATCAGGAAAAGCACACTGGGAAAAGGGGTTTGACTGGTGCTGTTGTGGGTGGCATATTTTCACTTCATGCTTTTCATAGCTATGGTGGTTTTCACCACCCCTGCCATGCTGTTATTGTCTCTGTATTCTGCCTGGTAGATATAAACCCATAGTACCTCTATATTACTCTAGCTACAGCCACAATGTAAGTTGGGCTGCCCAGAGCTTCATGCTACTATTAAGACTCCCGTCCCCAGTATACCTTCAGATAAAGCATCCACTATAGCTTTACCCTATACTGCAGTCTGTTATATCCAAGTTAAACATTCAAAATCAGGAGTCAATACAATTGCCAGACTACATATCTTAAGTACAGACTCCTGCTATTGCAATAGAATTATCCCAATAATAGGATGCATAGCACCCTCTCCAAATGGCTGCAGTATCCCTGAGGGTATGACAGAGGTATGGTCATATACCCCAGGGTTTAACCTTGAACACAGCCAATCACATTCCATTTCAGGTGTCAGATTTCCAGAGCAGCACCAAACTAAAGTTTCTCAGAACACCATTAGCACTTGCTGATGTGTTGTCACAAGACTGGAAAGAGGAGTTAACAATACACAGTGAACATTTTCTGCTGCAGAAAATCGTAACAATGCAATTCAGTCTTGGGAACAACAGAGCATGGGAAACACACAGCCTTGGCAGATTTGCAAGCCACCTGCTCAGAATCTCAAAACCAGTTCTGAAAATAAAACCGTCTCAGACACCCCTCAAGGAAGAATATATGAATATGCATCCTGCTTCCTTGCAAAAAATTGATGACCAAAGTCACTACTTATGCAACACATGGCAATACTGTGGGCCCTCACGTAAGCAACACAATGCCAACCACCAGTTTCAGTTGTTCAGTCGAGTAGTTATTACAGTCCAATTCACTTCTCCATGCGTTGTCTTAAGTACAATGGATGTTTACACCAAAATTGTTATTTTTTTTGCTAAACCAATTAAAAGCTTTTCCTCTCGCAAACATCCACCTCAGTTTGCTTGTCCCTGAACAGCAGCTCCCTCTTCAAACAGCTGATACCTGCAAATGGCCCATCTCTTCACACTTCAGTCTTACATGTCTAAAATTGCCCTGTTGGGACACACTTTATGGGAGAAGTGCTGGAATGCAGCAGGAGCATCCTACTTCTCAGCTGCCATAGAATACTTCAGGGAAAAACCAAGATTGTGGCCATAGTCCCTCCACTAAAAAGGAGTCAGCATGCTGGTCAAGCTGGTGCACAAAAGCATTTATGACTTCTCAGAAAGAACCACATTATGCAGTTAGGTTATAGAAATGGTTAATTTTATTCTGCTCAACAGAATGGTCTCTGTAATTTAGCTAGATATGAAATGTCTTTGTCTTCAGTGATGCTGATTTTCAGATGTTATATAGCTATGTTTCAGTGGTAAATGAATTTCCCTACATAATTAAACAAAGATAAAAGGTCAGATGGTTGTAAAAGAACTAATTACATAGATTTCTGTACAATTACTACACATTTGACAAGCCTTTCACATCTGCATACAAAGTTCCTAGGCTATGTAACATCATTCTACTGCATGCATGTTCCAAAAACGCTTGGCAATTTCAGAATAAATGAAACTTGTTCCTTTTTGAACATGCTTAAGCAGTGATTAATGCATCATTTTAAACCTTCTGACAACACTATACTTCTGACATAATAGGCCTAGGGGTATTGTTCAATCAAAGGTCCAAAACATGACTGATGGAGACTGAGCATGTACATCGGTTTTATTTCTATGCCCCACTTGAGCTTTTACACCAAGTCCTGTCCTGCACCATCTTTTTTTCAGGAGTTGATACAGCAAACTATTCTGTCTAATGAGTTCAAATTAATAAAACCATAATAACCTTGGTTTGAAGACTTTAGGTGCAGGTTTATGCATTACTACATGGCACGTTTTTCTGATGTAAAAAATTCTTCAATTCAGGTGGTCCAAATGCTGCAATATACCCATCAGGCTACAAGGAAAACTTGCATGATTCATTTTGCACACAATCCATTTCAAGAAAAGTAGGCATGCAGCTACTTAGGGAAGTCTATTATTTAAATAAAAAAAGAAGAAGCACAAGATTTAAGTCTAATAAGCATTTTTCTTGCCCTTCTTGATGGAAATAAGAAAAAGCCAGATGCAGATAATGCATGCAAATCCTGGTTCTAACAGCAGCACCCACATTACAGCAGCTCACAGAGCAGGTGGTGAAATGGTGGAAGACAAGTTGCTCTGTTGCTCTTGCTGTCTCAGCTGCACTGGTCAGCTATTATACAATACTGCTTTCCTCCCTCCTGCAGTCTCTGCAAATGTAAAATATTCCCAATGTTTAAAAATAAAGCCACCTCTGAAAAATGTCTGTTAACTGTGAATACCTCAAACTGAATTGCACTGCATAGTTATAACTAAGGTTTCATGCATTTCCTTATTTACTGTTGTTGAAGAACTGCTGACATTAAGACTGCTTAAGAAACAGAGATAGGAGATGTTTGTCACTTGACAGCATTATCTATTTCTTTTGAACAGAAAACAAAGGTTACTCTACAAAGCAGTCATCCAGCATACAGCTGTTTTCTCTTAAACACAGCATCAGTACAAATTACAGGACACTCCTTTGTCACTATTTCTGCACTGTAATGGAAAGGATTACATCTAAGTATGCTCTAGAGCACAAAACTGTATGATGTAATCCTTTGTTAACAAAGTTCCCAGGAGCACAATGCCTCATGTTATGGCTACCAGATGCAAGATGAAATGGAAGACAGGAGTATCACTTCCTACAATTCCC